TTCCAATCCAGACAATATCAAACCAGTTCTTTCTGAAAAACCAGTTCAGAAATGTTCAAACCAATTCAAACAATATCAAACCAATTCAGGAAGAACCAGAGAAGCAAGTCGAACCAGATTCAAATCAGTTCAAAGTAAGTTGAACCATATTCAAATCAGTTCAGAGCAAGTTCTAACAGGTTCAAAAACCAGTTCTAATAGGTTCATAAAACCAGTTCTAACAGCTCAGAAACCAAGTCAGCAAACCAGTCCAAAAGAAAACAGTTCGAAAAAATAGCAGAAATCGTTCAAGAAAACCAGCAAATAAACCCAGCATGATGTTCGTTCAAACCATCGTAACAAGCGGAAGCCTAAAATCTCGCAGCAAGTAACAACAAGGGCACCGTCAAACCATCAAAAGTGCAGATTCCCCAAAGTTCCTGAGAAGTAGCGTAACGAAACAATATTTTGCAACAAGATCGTGATGGATCCGGCCCAGTAAATCACAATATATGAATATTAGTATTCATCAGTTTAAGGGGGATCGAAACCCTAACAGCAAAAAACAAGAAGAACGGCGCCGGAAGTAAGGAAAGAAGTTCATAAAACTCAGTGAGTTTTCATCATCGCCACCATCGGTGAAGTAAGAAGGGGCCAGAAAACGCCGAGGAACTCGAGGGAGTAGATTGCAATCACCGTCTTCATCGAGGAACGACGGACAATCCGACTTCCACCTCAGTTCGCCATCCCAAAAGCCTCTGATTCACTCATCACCGGCTGTTCATACTCGCAATAAGCATCGCCGAAACAGAAAGGGTAAGGTTTCATCAGGATGATTTGTTTCTCTGTGTTTGTGTGTTTCAGGTGAGAAAGGATATGGAAACGGCGGCATGCAAAGGAGAAGGGAATCGGAAAAGATCCAACACACCAACGATGGCGCCGCCGGGTTTCTTTGAGGAAGAAGGAGTTGTTTTGAAAACCCTAATAGAATGAGCGAAACAACATAAAACCGTCCCCTCTCCCTTTTAGTCATGTTTTTTATTATTATTTACGTTTTTGTTATTTATTTATTATTCTATGCATGTCACTAATCTGAGATTTTCTCTTGTTAATGGTACTAATAAAGGTAAAGTTTTAGTTAATGAGTTAAGTGTTTTAAATAAAAAAAGGGATATAAAGGCAATTCTTTTTAGACATTATGGTTTTTATTAAAACGTTTTTGTAAATAAAGACATTAAAATAAAACCTTTTTACATTAACATAAGACATTTTTTAGTAATTTTTCTTTCATCAAAAATTTGAGGCATTTTTCTTTGATTAACTTGAAACAAGTTTTTTAAACAAATTAATCAAATAATTTCTCTTGTAAATATAACGAAATTTCTTTAAGTAGAATTCAAAAAGAGTAATAAAAGTTCTTGATGTAGCCATCTCAGTTTCATCTAACCTCTTTAGTTCGTTGGTTTCATCTTATTATTATTTCGTTTTGTTCGTTTTGGCATGGATGTAATTTATGCGAGGCCATGATCGCGGTTTTTTATTTTCGCATTTGTTTTGGGACTTGTAATTTGCGCGTTTCGTTACCGTTTCTTTACTTTTCTCCCTTTAATTCTGCCGTATATTAATCTGCCATATTTTGCATGTTTTTACCGTTAATTTCCCCCTCCGAAGAAATTAGGTTTATTCGTTTGACCGCCGAGTCAATAACCCTGATTTTTGACCCTTTCAAACCCTAATAGCCTAGGTGTCCTGCCTTGGACGAAAATACCCTTACGCTAGTGTTAGGTCAAAGAGTCGCCGTACTCTGTTTTAGGGTTTCCCGCCGTGAAATCTCTAATTTAACCTTAATTTTAATTCAACTTTTCAACATAGAAATAGGAGTTTCAAGACTCCACGTAAGCGTGTCCTTAAGATACGTTTACTCCCCTTGAAACCTTGACCATAGTCAAGAAGTTTCTAACCTCCCTTTCAAGGGGAACTACGATTACTCTGATTCCATCCCCTATCTAGGATATGTAGGCACAAGATGCAACGTCTTGCCGAGTAAACTTAGGACTAACCCTTAGGTCTTTAGGTCACTTTATCCCTTAGCTCAATATATATTAAAGTAGATAATAAAATAAAAAAGCATACAATAAACAAAAGGTTCTTGTAGAGTACTACAGAAGTTTAGGGTGTTAGTATCTTCCCTAAGCTTAACCAACCTCTTACCTAGGTCTCTCCTCGCATTGTGTTTACGATGCAAAAATAGGTTTTCCCTCTTTTGACCTTTTCCTTCGGATAAATCAAAGAGCGGTTGTGAATCAAAAATTGTGATTCAAACTAATTAATAGTTTGATATCCTATTTCCACCGCAACATAACCCTTCTCAAGCAATTTACTAATACTTAGAAGGTTACACTTGATTCCTGAAATGTAAAACACATATTTGAACAAGGAATGTTCACCATCCGTTTTCATGATCAAAATATCATCGATCTCATCGGCCGTTAGAGTGGTATCATCTACGAACTCCACTTTATTCTTCATGGCACGATTGATTGTAACAAACCAATCTTTCCTCCCCGTCATATGAGTAAAACATACGGATTCTAAATATCATTGATCGCTAGTTTGAATTGCTTCTTTCAAAGTTAACATTACGTTTTCTTTTTCCTATAATCGGTTACAGCTTTTATGTAATCGATTATAGCATGGTTCTACACCATTTCCAAAACAGCTACTGCTGATGTTCTACAACATGTGTTGTTGCATACTCCATTTGTGATCATGACCAAAAGTGTGTTCTTATCATCAAACTCTTGTCTCGCAACCTTGGTTTCATCCACTTGAGATTCCTTCTTTTTCGCATTGCATTCTCTTGTAAAATGATTGAACTTTTGATAAACAAAGCACTGCAGATTGCTCTTGTGTGTCCTTAATCTTTCGCCTCTAAAATTGTCTTGACCACCATTTTTGTTGCAAGTGTTCTCACCCTTTTAACAAGTCGAATTCTTGGAACTTTGAGATTCTCTTCCACCAAAATTCTGAAAATTCCCTCTACTATTCATGGGTCATTTTTCTTTCGATCTCTTGTCCTTCTCATTAAAATGAGCTTGCAATGCAATCTCCGTATTTGTCTTATCACAATTTCTCTCCTCCATTCTTTACTCGTGTGCCTCAAGAGAGATTTGTATCTCATTTATGCTCATCGTCGCAAAATCCTTTGATTCCTCAATCACTATGACCACATTGTCAAATTTTGATTTAAAGAACACAATATTTTCGCGACAACATACTACTTTGTGACTGTTTCTTCACATGTTTTTACTTGGTTCACCAACCGAGTAATTCTCGTTATGAAATCGTTGATGGTCACCTTCTCCATTAGAACCAATTCAAGTTGACGTTTGTGAGTTTGTAACCTCACCACCTTTACCTTGTCACCCCTGCGTATGCCTTCTTTGAGATTTCTCACACTTGTTTCGATGACTCGCAATCACCAACTTTCTCAAAGTTGTCACCATCCCCACATTGATGGATCAAAAACAGTGCCTTAAAATCTTTCTTATTTTCTTTCTTATGTGTTGCTCGTTGTGCATCTGTTGCACCTTCAACAAGAGGATTCACTTCGTTTTTGATCACTTCAAGAACATCTTGGTAGCGAAACAACGCATTCATTTGTTTGCACAATTTGTCATAGTTCTCCGCATCAAAGATGGGTAAGTTTACAGAGATTCTTTCATTGGAGACATAATTCATGTTGCACACTAGGAGTTTGGTTGATCGAACCACTTCTTGATGCCAAATGTTATAACTTGAAATCACCCGGTTGGTGAAAAATGAAGAGAGAGAGAGAGAGAGAGAGAGAGAGAGAGAGAGAGAGAGAGAGAGAGAGAGAGAGAGAGAGAGAGAGAGAGAGAGAGAGAGAGAGAGAGAGAATTTTGATTAACATTGATTGAGATGCCCCTTGGATATATATACAAAAAATACAATTGATTGGGATAAAAGTAACAAAGCAAAAAATAGAAACTAATAGCCTGTAATGGGTTACACAAAACCTGTAGCCAGTTATAGATAGTTCTACAAAATAAAATCATAATAGTGGTATCTGGTTACTATGAATGTGTAACTTTCTATTTTAGCTTTTCTATTACTTTCCAACACATCATTAACCGATTACACCCTTGTGATAATCTATTACAGCACTAGAACTATTGAATTTTCACTTAACAATATCATCCCAAAATCAATATTATCAAACAAAAGATCAACCAACATGATTCTACTATCATTGGAGTCATCGTCAAAACCATCATAATCACTCAATTTGTCAAAATATCTTCAACTGCAATACCTAAAAAAAATAGTAAGAAAGATGAGATGGCAAAGGGACTACTTGAGCAATTTATGTTATATGGGGCAGGTTACTGAGGGAGGCAGTTATGCATAAGTGAGATTGGCTTTCAAGAAATAGAAGAAGAGTTGTTTCCTTCATCCCATTTTCTTGTATCCATCAATATCAAACACTTCAATTTTCTTTATCATTTTATATTTGCATATTATTTTCCTTTACAACAATTATAATCTATCATACTTTGGTTAACCAAAAAGAAAAAAGAAAAATTAACAATTTTATGCAATCTATGACAATCCACATAAATAATATACCCAAACTCTAACCAGTTCAGCTACACAAATCAATATACAAAATTCAACTGTGTGAAAAATACTAATCATATATAATACATCATAACTAGAAAGGTTTGGTATACAACATTCCTACTTCCTAAACAACAATTACATCTTCCAAAACCTCACATAACACAACTAATAATCTTCTAATACAACTGCCAATTGGCTTTTAACCAATCCAACTGCGCACACGCACGCATGCACACTAGAACTTGTTCCCTTAATCGATAAGATCTCTTCATTTTTTAATCTTCAGAACACTCGAAGAGTGTGCCTTGGATTTGTGAAAGGACTTTACTTCGATTGAATTAGAAAACGAATCCAAAATGAAACTATAATTCCAAACTCTAGAGGAAGTATGTGAGTTGTTGTTTCTTCCTTGAACCGCCTTCTCCGTACAATTCATTCCATTGTTTTAGCTCGCCCATGACCGATCCTTCTGACGCAAAACTTGCAGCCACCTGCATATAAACATACATCGTCGATAATCGGTAAATAAATACACACAGATGAAACATATAACTAGTGGAAATTATGCTATCTAGCTCATCCTACCTGATTCTTAGCTTGTTTCATGTCTTCCATGCTTAAAGGCCTCAAGATAACTTCTCGTTCTTCACTATCGTTATTATTCGAAGCATCTTCAGAACCTTCACTTTCGGTCTCTTTTTTCTTCTTTTCCTGATATAATATATTCAAAATATACTCATTAAGTTCCTCGTCTCGTACTAAATTTTTACATTATATCGAGATATCAATCTTAACATTATGAAAAAATTGAAGTAAAATACCGTTTCCTTCTTTCTCTCTTGCTGTATTAACTCCCTAACGGGTCGATAAGCTGCGGTGATGCACAAATTCTGTTTACAGAAAATTCGAAATCAATTTTATCAGATAAAAATTATAAAGTAAAAGTAATCACTTCGTCGAAAAATTTTACCTTAAGATCACTTCCGCTAAATCCTTCTGTCATGGTTGCTAGTTCTTTGAAGTCTAAGTTTTCGTGTTTTTCCTTCGACAGAAGAGTTTTTAGGATCATTTCTCGGTTCTCGACGGATGGAAGACCAACCATGATCCTGCTCAACATCAATGAAATTATAGAAATATATTTAACAAATCAGAAACATCAATAATAATTTATCGTAAATAGTAAAAAATTATAAAAGGAAAATTATAGGAGATCTGTTTTCTGATGGATCCATGTGCAAAATCAGAGTGAACAACTCATAAGGATAAATTAAATAAATGAATGGATAAAATAATTTAGATTCCTTTCTTTTTTCTCAATAAAAAATCGATGGAATGTTTGTTAATTATGAATTTTTGTGTTTTTTTTATGTTTGACAAGTTGTTCGCGGCAAAGATGCGGTCCTACCTGCGCTCGAATCGTCTTATAATTGCTTCGTCGAGATCAAAAGGTCTGTTGGTAGCAGCGAGAACGAGAATTTGTTCATTCGGTCCGGACAATAGTCCATCCCAATGTGTCATGAATTCGTTTTTAATCTTCCTCATGGCCTCGTGTTCTCCAACTCTAGTTCGTTGACCGAGCATGCTATCAACTTCGTCAACGAATATGATTGTCGGAGCAACCTTAGCTGCTAGCGTGAACAAAGCTCGGACGTTCTTTTCGTCTTCTCCGAACCATTTCGAAGTGATGGTGGACATTGAAACGTTAATGAAACTTGCTCCTGCTTCATTTGCAATCGCCTTTGCTAGCATCGTTTTTCCGGTACCGGGTGGCCCGAAAAGTAATATACCTCTACATGGCTTTAGAAGTCCGCCTTTGAAAAGATCCGGTCTTCTAAGGGGGAGCATGACGAGCTCTTGAAGTGACTCTTTAGTCTCATCTAATGCACCGATATCTGCGAATGTAACTCCTATCTCGTTTGCAGGGATTACCTCGGGTCTAATTCGCTTCTCGAACTCGTTGTCAGGAACTTCCTGCAATAATACGATTAAGTTATAGTTACATAAACGATGGGTAAGATAAGAAGCATTATAAATTGTTTAGGCGTTGAGAAAATTTGATCTTACAGCTTTTGCAGGCGTAGAATTTTCGCCTTCTTTTTTCGTTACAGGGACCGATTTCTCCGTCTCACCTTTGTTCTCGGGAGCTTTTGTACCGACAATAATATCTTCACCAGCATTTTCCTAACAATAAATAAAACCAATCGATAAACAAATGTATAAAGAGAAAAACACTTCATTATTTTTTCTATGTTGATCACGGACACCGGAACAACGACACCGACGCTTACACGTCGACACCAATAATAATTTAAAAAAATGAATAAATTAAACGTAATCACAAGTATAAGATTCAGTTTCGGACACCGACACATCTTTTTTCAGAGTTGGGAGCTACAGATATTGACGCAATGGAGGTCAAGGCGGAAAATGGTGAACCATAAAAACTGTAGGTGTTTGAGATACCGGGAATCTTTACAATCATATATTTGTTAGATAAAATACGGGAAAAGCCGTTAATAACAGTTTTTCAAAACTAGATATATACAAACATACCTTATTAGAATCATTAGTCTTCAAATTCCCGCTACTCTTGCCTTCTTGGAAAAGACTCAATCCATGGGACAAACTGTTCGCATCGGCAGACAAGATCAGTAACAAGAAAATCCTATCGTAGAATAGAAACAATTTCTCGAACTATCATCGAAGATTTTACCTATTGGATGAGATAACTAGCTTTCCGTTTCGGTATTCTGGTTCTTTGGTATTCATCAAATGATAAGAAATTGCAGACACGACGATTTCTTCGATATAATTACTAAGTATCATAGTATCTGCATGGCATATCGAATTCAAGTCATCGCAATCAATGTCGTTTTCAGTGAGTACTTCCGCGATGTGGTTTCGAGTATCTTGAAACTTAATGACTTTCATGTCCTCTTCAAGTTGGCCTTTCCAGCTACCGAGATGAGTTTCGTCTTCAGGTGCTTTGATCTCGATGTTGTAAGGGAATAAGCTAGTGATCCTCTCGTCGATTTCTTTGCTTTCGTCTTCTAAATCTAATATTTGGGAACCGAGTATCAACACCGAGCCTGATATTTTCTGTATCATTTTTTGTAGTAAATTATATAACCTCGGTGATTTTAGAAGAAGCTTCTCAACATCCCTTATGTATAAAATTACGGAATCGGTTCCCGAGATAGAAACCAAAACCTTGTAAAGTGATTGCACAAAGAGCCTTTCGTCAAAACACAAGCTACTAGTGCGTCGTAAAGGTGCTGAAAACACGATTCAAATAAGTTAGCATAGTATTACATAACAACGATGAAATTTCATGCATTAGCGAAAAAATTAGATGTTGAAATCGATCGCTTATGTGAGCAAACCTGGATTTAATGAACCACTTTGGGAAGAAGTGCTACTGAGATCAGCCGTGGCAGAGGCATTTCTCCTAAGCCTTGGAAGATTATTCAAACTTTCACTGCTTTGTTGACGCAGAGTACCTCTAGTTTCACCGGTCGAAGGCAGCGTTGAAAAGGAACCAAATAAACCAGACATTCGCTCCAAAGTCATCTCGGATATCGACCTTCTGTGACACTGTATTAGAAGAAACAAATGAGTCGCAAAATTCTCGCCAAGCAAAAATGCTAAATTTCTGAAATTGTTCTCTTTTGAAGCAAATGCGTAACGAAGCTAACGATTTACAAGATCGACTTACTGGTTCTTTTCTCGGATATCCAAATCTGCTCTGCAACTGTACGAGAAAAAACACGAAAGTATGAATATACGTATATGTATTAATTTTGGTATATGTATACTACCTGATCATAGCGATAATAAAAAATTACCTTCACGGAGAAATCGGTTACATCTAACAATAGCAATTTCGATTCGAAGTAATGTGCTAAAGCTTTTGCAAGCATTTGCTGATAAAGTTCTACAAAATTTACAAAGCAACAAGTATTAATAAAAAAACGAACCGAAAACCGAAGAAATAAACGTGTATGCGCGACAGGAATAAACTATTGTGTATACCTGCTGGACCAGAGAGTAAAATAGCCCGGCTTGCTGGTGAGAGGTTCCTTGTATGCTTGGAAAAGTTAAGATGTTTTAAATGAACGTATGCAGCGCTCGTCAACAAAACCCGAGTCCTTTCGCTGTAAATTACATATGACACAAAACATAAGAAAATCGCAAACCGACACTTTTTTACATCTTCTATGGACAAGATGAAGTTTTACATCATTCATAGTCATCTCCATCATTCAACTTTTTTTATTTGTGACCTTACATATGTGGACCCTGAATTTCTGCTGTCAAATCACCCTGCATTCACACATTCGGTCGTATCTGACCGTCCGATTTTGATCAGACATATGATTTAAATCTGGTAATTTTGAGAAAATCAAAGATATGTTCTTTATGATCCGCGCGATCAAGATCAAACGGTTAGTAACAGCTTGACAGCGTGAATGCAGCAAAAATCCGACTGGGGGATTCAATTTCGACATATGCTCATAATGCAATCATTTACTTTTAAAATTAACCAAAGTTATGTCAACTCAAACTCAAATCAAATGATTAGGCTCGAGTTAAAGACGAATCGCTCAAGAGAACTCAAGTTCGAATCTTGATTGAAACAATCCTTAGTCAAACTTTAATTATCTCAAACATCATTAATACACAAAATATACAAACATAGGTTCATGATATTCTATTAACATAAATTTCAACCATGTTTCTATCTCATTCAAAAGGGTAAAAAAAAATGGCCTTTTTTCAACAAAAAAATAAACATTATAACTATTATTATTAGTATCAATCAACATTAAAATCTAAAAAAAACATTAAAAATTACCTTAAGTAATAAGGAAACTCATCAAATGTAACTTTGCTATCTTTTCCATCAACCAAAAGTCTCTTAAGTTCTTCAACAATTTGATCCCCAGAAACCTCCCCAAAATCACGATTCCCACCAACCCATTTCTGAACAGTTTGTCCAGAACTCAATCCAAGTCCAACACCTAATCCAACACCAACACTCAATGCTGACAAAAAAACATGTTTCTGTTCCATAACATCAAAAAAAAGTTTGGTCCTTTAACCAGAACCCAGAAACAAAAACACCAAAAAGGTATAAGAAATTGTTGAGAAAATAATTTCAAGAAAAATTTACAAGATTATAAGAAATGGGTATTCAAGAAAAACATGAACAATAACAATAACAAGAACCAATGTCAAAAACAAAACTTGTGAGGGATTTGACAAGGGAATGACTTTGTTGTTGTTGTTTGTGAATCTCTCACATCTATGTGCTATATATAGTATGAATAACTAATGGACTTAAATTGTTGGTGTTTTTTTATGAAGTGATTTTTGAAAAGGCAAAATGAAAAAGAAGGAAATAAAAAACTTTCTTTTTTTTTCTTTTTTACTTTTGGTAGTGTGGTGTGACACCAAATCTGGGTTTTTCTTCCATCAAACTAACATCTTTTTTTCTCTTTCATACTTGGAATCCTTTTTGTAAAGGTTACTAATAAAGATTCTATTGAATAAAAAAGTTGATGAAAATTAAAATTGTGCAATTTTGTTATGGGTAAAAAGAAGAAAATAATGTGTTTAAATATTAAATTGGTCTAATAGAATGGATTAAGATAGAAAGTTAAGTTTAAGTTAATAGATTATCTTAAATTATTTTTGATTAAAAATGAAGTGAACATAAAATAATTTATATTTAGAAAAATTTCTACGAAAATAAATTAATATTTAGAATTAAAAACTACAATTTTAATTTCTTCTTTCTGTTGTGAAACGATTTCGTTAATAACATAATAAAGTTATGAGATAAAAATTGAATATCTTAAACAAACATAAGAAATCTTATTAGATTTTTAAAAAGAGAGAGAAGAAGAAGGAAGAAGAAGAATAAGAATTAGTTAAACTATTTTATTATTCACTTTCTCAATAAGGGTTCAAAAATTACAAGTGAATACCAACAATTAACATCTTTCAACAACTTGAGAGAACTAGCCTATTTATATACTACCAAACAAATTTAGTTACAAGCTAACTTAAAAATTGAGCTTACGGGTAAGGTCTAATTCGACATGCTAACTTAAACACAAAACTAACATATTTTGGCAACATGCTTGAACAGACTACGACTACAGCATGCACAAGTCCTGTCGAACCATGAAGTTACCTTTGTCGACACAGAGTTCGATCCAAATACCACAAATCTCCACCTTAGAACAAACTCTATACTTGCAAGGGAACAAACAAGCTTTCATCATGCAGTTTTATCAATTACATACAGTGGAAAAACTTGCTTCTTAAAAATGTCTTGGTGATCATATTAGTAGCATTATCATCAGTCGAAATTTTTAGCACTTGAACTTCTCCATGCTCGATTATCTCTCTAACAAAGTACAACTTCATATCAATGTGTCTGGTTCGCTCATGTTAGATTGAATTCTTCGACAGGTGTATTGCAATTTGACTATCACCTTTAATAGTGATAACTCGACCTTGAAGTTTCAGGTCCTTAGCAAAACCTTCAAGGCACAATACTTCTTTCACAACTTCAGTGAGGGTGATATACTCCGCTTCAGTGGTTGATAAGGCAAAAAACTTCTGAAGTGTTGCTTTCCAACTGATTGTTGTGTCAAATATAGTGAACACATATCCAAAAATAATTTTTTTAGAATTCATACAATCTGCATAATTAGAGTCGGCAAATCTTTCGATTTAGACTTTGCTATCATCACCACAAACTCCACCATAAATCAGGACTCTGCTCGGAGACTCATTGATGTACCTAAGAATCCACTATAATGCTTTCTAGTATGTCTTCCCAAGATTGTCCATATACTTGCTTACAAGGCTCACTTTGTATGTTATGTTTGGCCTCGTACAAACCATAACATGCATCAAAGAACCTATTATACTAGCATATGGAATGCTCTTCATATAGGCTCTTTCGACTTCAGCACTAGGACTTTGAGTCATACTCAACCTGTACTGAGGATTAGTCAATGTTATAACAGACTTTGAGTTCGACATACCAAACTTTTCAAGAATCTTCTTCAAGTATGTCTCTTAAGATAAGCATAATATAAACTACTTTCTATCTCTCTGAATGTCAATCCCAAGAATTTTGGAGACAACTCCCAAATCCTTCATGTTGAACTCCTTATCGAGTTCATCCTTCACCATCATAATATCTTAGACATTATTGTTTTCTATGAGGATGTCATCCACGTAAAGCAAAAAAGTAACAAGTGAATTTATAGGTCGAATTCTAAAGTAAACACAGTGGTCAAGCTGGCTCCTAGTGAAACCAATGTGTGCCATGAACTTGTCGAATCTCCTATTCCATTGTCGAGGAGATTGTTTCAGGCCATACAAATATTTATTCGGCTTGCACACACAATCTTCCATTCCCTTTTCTGCATACTCTTCAGGTTGTCTCATCAAGATTGTTTCATCTAGATCACCATACAGGAAGGTTGTCTTCACATCCATATGCTCAAATTCTAGGTTGAACTTCCCTACCATGGCTAACAACATTTTAATGGATTTATACTTTACAACTAGTGAGAACATATCATTGAAGTCGACACTTTCTTTCTGAGTGAACCCCCTAGCAACCAACCTTGCCTTAAAAAGCTTCGACATCACTCATTTGATTCCTTGCTTAACCTTGAAAATCCACTTACGACTGACTAACCGGACCCCTGCAGGTTTCTCGATCAACTCCCAAGTGTTATTATCATGAGGAGATTTCATTTCATCAATTATGGCTTTCATTCATTCAACCTTATTTCGACTCCTCATAACTTCCTTATAATCTCTAGGTTATTCTTTAAGAACCTCACTTGCAGAGATTAAGGCATAAGTTATGAGATTTGCATAACCAAGTCTCTGAGGTGGCTTAATGAATATTCTCAAATTTTCTCTTGCCAGCATGTAGTCATTATCAGTCTCCACGACTTCAATAATAGCTTCTACCTCTTCTTCGACTTCATTTTGGTTATGCAACTCAGTATCAACATGTTCCACCTTAATAGGAATCCCTTCTTGTTCCAGCTCTTCTTCAGAGATTTTGGCGCTTCAACCAATGTCATCAATTTCCTTGAAAGCCATTTCTGCTTCATTGAAAAATATATCTCGACTTGTGATACACCTCTTGTGATCTTGCTCAAGACACTACAGCCTATAAGTTTTGACTCCTTCAAGTTATCCAAGGAACATACATTTCAGAGCTCTAATTTCGACCTTGTCTTGCCTAATGTGAGCATAGGCTAAGCAGCCAAATACTCTAAGTTTGTCGAGATTAGGTGGATGTTTATACCAGACTTCTTTAGGTGTTTTCATCCCCAAAATTGTCGAGGGACACCTATTTATCAGGTAAGCTATAGTCATGATTGCCTCAGCCCAAAACACCTTCTTCAATCCTGCACTAATTAACAAGCACCTTAATTGTTCTAAAATGGTTCAATTAAACCTTTCAGCCAAACCATTGTGCTAGGGAGTACCTGCAGTAGTTTTGTGCCTTGCAATAGCAGATGCAACATAATAGTTGTCGAAAGCCTCATTGCAAAATTTAAGACTGTTGTCGGTCTCCAACCTCTAGACCTTCCTACCAGTTTAGTTTTCGACCAGAGTCTTCCAACTTTTGAAATTTTTAAAAGTTTCATCCTTAGTCTATTGGATGAAAACCCATAACCTTCTAGAATAATCATCAACTATGGATAGAAAATACTTTACACCTGAGTGTGAATGATTCATTGCAGGCCCCCAAAGATAAGAATAAATGTAATCAAGGGATCTGTGTTTTCTTTGTTTACCTTTGTTAAACTCCATTCTACATGATTTACCAAATGCATAAGATTCACGAAACTCCAGTTTTTCGACCTTGTCACCACACAACATATTTTGTTTTGACAATTCGACTAGGCCTTTTTCACTGACATGGTCAAGTATCTTGTGCCATAGCTTAGTCTTCAACATAGGTTTCGTCGATGCCACATCTGCTAAACCACTTACAACCTCATCCTCAAGGGTATACAAACCTTGTTTCTTCACGCCTCTCAAGACTTCTTTTGAACCTTTCATTACCGTTAGGATGCTTTGCTCTCCTTTGAAAACATATCCTTTCTTGTTGAATTCACAAAGAGAAATCAAATTTCTCTTAAAATTATATGCATACCTAACATTAGTCAATAACCTTATTGACTCATCATGGAGCTTAAATCTCACAGATCTAATACCTACAATTTTGCAAGCTTTGATGTTTCCCAGCAGCATTGATCCACCATCTTGATCACAAAATTCCTCAAAGACGTCTTTGTTAGGAGTCATGTGCCAAGTACACCCTGAATCCCTAATCCACTCCTTGCTAGAGTCACTGCTTGAAACCACCAGGACATCAGATGATTCATAACAATGTTGCACAATGGTTGCATTACCATTATCTTTTCCACCATGATTGTTCATTCAATCAGGGCATACTTTACTTGTATGACCCTCCTTCTTACAATGATAATACTTAATAGTATGAGCATTACCACCATAAGAATTATGTAGAACTTTACCTTCTTCTTCTCAAACCTACTATCTTTCTTCAAGAATTTCCCCTTAACAGACAAACCTTCACCAACAGAAGATGGTTTTTGCTCCTTTTTTTCGTCCAAATACTTATAGTACAAGGCAGATTGAACATCTTCAAAGGTCAATGAATCTCTTCCATACAAGATATTTTCTTTGAAATGAGCGTGAGACTTAGGTAAAGAGCACAACAGCAGAAGCACTTGATCTTCATTATCAATCTTGACCTCGATATTGTCAAGATCAAGAATCAATCTGTTGAAGATATCCAAGTGCTCAACCAAGGCTTTGTCTTTACTTATCTTGAATGAATATAAAGCTTGCTTCGGGTAGAGATAGTTAACCAATGATTTCTTCATGTAGAAACCTTCAAGTTTCGCCCACACACCAGCTACAGTTTTCTCCTTTGAAACCTGCCGGAGAATCTTATAACCATGGCTCAATACAATGACACTATGGGTTTTCTC